AAGAAAGATGTGTGTGAAATATGTCTTGAAGAAGATGTGTGTGAACTATGTTATAAGAAAGGTGTGTGAACTATGTCTTGAAGAAGATGAATGTGTGAACTATGTCTTATGAAAGATGTGTGTGTGAACTATGTGTTGAGAAAGATATGTGTGAACTATGTCTTAAGAAAGGCGTTTGTGTGAACTATGTCTTAAGAAAGGTGTGTGTGAACTATGTCTTGAGGAAGATGTGTGTGTGTGCGTGTGAACTATGTCTTAAGAAAGACATGTGTGAACTATGTTTTAAGAAAGATGTGTGTGTGTGAACCATGTCTTGTGTGTGTGTCTTGAGGAAGATGTGTGTGTACTATGTCTCGAGAAAGATGCGTGATAACTACTTGAGGAAGATGTGTGCGAACTATGTGTTAAGAAAACCGTGTGTCAACTATGTGTTATGGAAGCCTTGTGTGAACTATGCGTTAAGGAAGCCTTGTGTGAACTATGTGTTTAGGAAGCCTTGTGCCAACTGTGTGCTAAGGAAACATTGTGTCAACTATGTGTTAAGGAAGCCTTGTGTCAGCTATGCGTTAAGGAAGCCTTGTGTCAACTATGTGTTAAGGAAACCTTGTGTCAACTATGTGTTAAGGAAACATTGTGTCAACTATGCGTTAAGGAAGCATTGTGTCAACTATGTCTTAAGGAAACCTTGTGTCAACTATGTGTTAAAGAAACTTTGTGTCAACTATGTGTTAAGGAAGCTTGTGTCAACTATGTGTTAAGGAAGCCTTGTGCCAACTATGTGTTAAGGAAACCTTGTGTCAACTATGTGTTAAGGAAGCCTTGTGCCAACTATGTGTTAAGGAAGCCTTGTGTTAACTATGTGTTAAGGAAACCTTGTGTCAACTATGTGTTAAGGAAACCTTGTGTCAACTATGTGTTAAGGAAGCTTGTGTCAACTATGTGTTAAGGAAGCCTTGTGTCAACTATGTGTTAAGGAAACCTTGTGTCAACTATGTGTTAAGGAAGCCTTGTGCCAACTATGTGTTAAGGAAGCCTTGTTTGAACTATATGTTGAGGAAGCCTTGTTTGAACTATATGTTGAGAAAGGCATGCGTGCTATGTGTTGAGGGAGTTATGTTGTAAAAATTGTTCCACTAAAAATCTGGAATTGGAAACGATAAATACATTCGTATTCACTGCTACTACCATCAATGACAAAATTTGTACCACGATTTGAGACAGAATCAGAAAGACACAACCGTGCAATCAATTCCAATCATGTGAAGGTAAACATGTATTACAACAAGTCACAATACTACTTGTACTAAAACGAATAACATTGTTGTTGTTTTTTTCAAATATTTTTACTAGGCTAGGTCAGCTGTGAGATCCGGGAACATACCACTTGCCAAAGAAAATTCATCAGCTGCAGCACAATTAAATATTGCGGCAGTTTCAATCGTTGTCATCATTATTGCTGTGTACCTTTTCGTTCACTTCATGGGGTACTACTAATTACTAAGTATCAATGTGTCAACACTGCGATATTTACCCAATTACTATGGGTCGTTAATATTATACTCATCTTGTTGTTTCGTCCTGTTGCTGGACTTCATAAATAACTCTGGAGAATCTACGAGTTCTACTGCCAGATCAACATCATTTCTGGAAATGATTTATTTTGTGGTATCCATAACATGGTTTACTAAATGCTGGACATTTTCTGACAGAACGAGTGTTTTGAGTGGCTTTGATCTGCAGTCAGTACCTGTTAGTCAGTCAGTCAGTCAGTCAAACCATCCTTTCGTTCATTATGCGCTCTTCCAATGGAAATCCCAAGTATGAGGTTTGACCTGGGCGTGACAATCACCTAAAAAAATACCTATAAATAAAGGCTTGGTAATGTCTGCACAAGTCAAAGTCGCCATCTTTGTTTCCGAGGTTTCCATACTTTCCTAGGTGTCCATGTTTCCGAGGTTTCCGACAATTCCATTCGACACACAAATTGGTGATAACTGTGGTCGAAGATTTGGGTGGATACTCTATAATTGATGAGTAGCTGAGAAAGACAGAGTATGAAATTGTTAAAAACTGTGGAATGCACATTGGTGAGTGAAATGGATGCTGGCATAAGGAGTGGGGGAAAAACACTTGCAATTATAGGCTTGTAACTAGCTCGGTGACTGGGCTGTTGCCTGTGAGATCAAATGTTTACTGACACCAATCTAGGATTAAATGGGGTGTTGTGACAAAAGGCACTTTGTCAGATCCAGTTGCTCTTGTAACAGAACAATTCAGTCATGGAAATTCTCTGTTTATTCCTTTTCATTGGGTATGGAATTGTCAGCTTCCCATGCCTTTGTCCTGCTAGTGTCAATAAAATTGCAATGTTTATCAGTCCTAGCAAAAGCAAAATCAGCAGGTGAACGAAGACTAACCAAAACATCTAAATGGTGGTTAGCAGATAATTCCATTCTGTTGGCTGAATGGAAGTCGAACAATGTGGCTAGGGTTAGGTGTGCTGACAAACAGCTGGGACAGTGCAGTCAGCTTGGTGGCCTGTGAAAAGCAGGTAACAATATGCTGTAAATCATAATAAAAAATTACTTCAACCGGCGATTGATAATGTATTGAGTTCTGCTGACACTGTAGTGGAAAGCACAGACTAACCCAGACATTTAACATTAGGCTCACTAATTTCAGATTGTCAGCATCCTTTCTTTTACGTTTTTGTCATATTACCTCAAACCCTGCAAATTGAAGTGTGCATGGAATCATGGGAAGAAATTGTGTGCATTGTGATAACTGTCATAAAGGTGATTAACAGGTCATACTTGTTTTCAACTCTGAAAGGACAGTTGAAATCTACCAGGTGTGCTTGTGATTTACATAACAAAATGTGTCTAAAACTTTGGAAGGAGAATGTGAATCTACCAGGTGTGCTGTTATTTGAATAGCAAAGGATGTTTTAATCTATGTGGTGTCACCGAACCATGCCTATAAATTGGACAGACTCGGGACAGAGGGGGTCCATCATTTCAACTTGGTATCCATCTTTTCAACTTGGTATCTTGTGTGCTGCTACGATATTGTTTGACAAGAAATACAGGCTACAATCATCATTCTGTGAAACTTGTATGAACTGCTCTGCGATCTCTTGCTTTCAGCGGTGCTTTCCAGAATACCAGCATTCATCTGCAAGCAAGACTCCTGTATTCATTGTTGTGTTGCAGAAGCATTGACTGTCGTCCATTATTACATCCTGGAACTGTGAGTTATCACCAATGCACACTTCCATAAGCAATCCCCTATTTTAGTGACTTTATTCATTGTATTTTTCTGTGCTTTATTTCTTGTAATTATTTTGAGAGGTATTAAAGCCAGGAACTTTAACTTGATATTTTGGCGTATGTATATTTCATTTCCAGTACTATTGTTTTGTCTACCCCATACTAGCAGTGAAAGAACCCCCTGTCCAGTGTGAGTTCTGTGGGTACCCTCTCATTAGCGATAAGCAGGCCTTACACTGTGACACAGAGTCACTTTTTTGAAGATGGCAAAAACGTGATACTTGATATATTCAGTGTTGTGATTCTAAAATAAAAATATAAATTTTACAATCACCACATTTAAGTCACACCATTGTCAAAATCACCATAGCTTCGACTACAGACCAAACAGATGTCATAATAGGCATTACATCACAAAGTTAATAATTGTGAGTTGGAACTCACTGTATTCAACACCAATATGGGAAGTTAGTTGTGCCTTGAGAAGGTGGGACAATTTGACAAAATTGTCATCAAACATAAACATTTCAAAGTTTCATGAAATTCAACAACACAATTCACAGTTAGAAAATGGTAAAAACTTGAACGTTATTTAAAGCTGAATTTCATTAGCAATACAGTAACCTTGGACAGCAACTACTTGCCTGAGAGGCCTCTCCAAGCAGAAGTGCTTACAATTTTTACTTCGGCAGATTTTGATATATACACAGGCTGCATAAGCGAATGAATTATATTAAAAATAGTCTTATTTCACATATAAATTTGTTTATGTACATTGCCTTGCTGTATGAAAACTACATTGATATGACAACACATAATATATATGTATTTTGATTTATAGTGTAATTTATATACAAAACAGCTGATCAATAACTTTTGAAATAATTTTCATCTAAGGTTGATTGCTACTGCTTAATGTGCCATTTTGTATACATATGGTGGTGAGAATATTTTGTGCCAAAATCTGTATTATTAATCAATTTATAATATTATTGAATAGTATGAGGACGTTTTTTTCACTGTCAAATCTGTTATGACAAAAACTGTCAAGTAATATGCACAAAATTACATTTTAGCTGCAGTTTCCATTAACCACACTATAAATACATTATTAGACATTATGTAAACCTTGTGAGCAAGCAACATTTAGTGATATTGAGATATGTTTTACATTTAGTGATATTGAGATATGTTTTACATTTAGTGATATTGAGATATGTTTTACATTTAGTGATATTGAGATATGTTTTATATTTAGTGATATTGAGATATGTTTTACATTTAGTGATATTGAAATATGTTTTACATTTAGTGATATTGAGATATGTTTTACATTTAGTGATATTGAGATATGTTTTACATTTAGTGATATTGAGATATGTTTTACATTTAGTGATATTGAGATATGTTTTATATTTAGTGATATTGAGATATGTTTTATATTTAGTGATATTGAGATATGTTTTACATTTAGTGATATTGAGATATGTTTTATAGTGACTTCATATTTATATTCATTTCCTTCAACATCAAATGGCACATACGTAAAAATAAAGAATATTGTAGTATTTTAAAAATTGTTGGGTAACATTCTACCTTGTGAGTGTTTTATTTTTACTCCTATATTGATTTTATTTTAAATAAATAAATTACCGTTATTAATTAAATCATCTATTTTTGTGTGAATAAACAAATCTAAATATGTATTTCAGATAATATGGACAATAGGCACTCAACTGTCGTTTTGTCATGCAAATGCATTGAAACAACTGAAATAATGAAAAAATGCTACACTAAGGCAGATGTCAACTAGAAAAGTTACCATTAAACACGGTAGTCAAAATGTTCCATTATCATTATCTGGACAACATAAGTCATCGTTCCATTTCAGCTGTGAGTTTTGTAACAATGTCGTCTAAAGATAATTTGTCTGCCATGATTTTCACTATCTTGCTTCGAGATCTCGACCCCTGTGAAAGACAATAAATTAAAGCATAAGTTGTATACATCACGTTTTCACAATTAAAAAGTTATCAAATAGTATAAATTCAGATGGCAAATAATATTAATGAATTATCTAATATAAATCAGATGCTAAATAATATAAATAAATTGTTAAATATATAAATGAGATGTCAAACAATGTAAATGAATTGTTAAATAATATAAATGAGATGTCAAAAAATATAAATTGTTAAATAATATAAATGAGAAGAAAAAAACAATATGGGATGTCAAATAATATAAATAAATTGTTAAATAATATAAATGAGATGTCAAATAATATAAATTGTTAAATAATATAAATGAGAAGAAAAAAACAATATGAGATGTCAAATAATATAAATGAGATGTCAAACAATATAAATAAATTGTTAAATAATATAAATGAGAAGAAAAACAATATGAGATATCAAATAATATAAATGAGATGTCAAATAATATAAATAAATTGTTAAATAATATAAATGAGAAGAAAAAAAAATATGAGATATCAAATAATATAAATGAGATGTCAAATAATATAAATAAGATGCCAAATAATATAAATGAGATGTCAAATAATATAAATAAATTGTTAAATAATATAAATGAGATGTCAAATAATATAAATGCGATGTCAGAAAAGCAGGCGATACAATCATCATACTGCTTCTGCTGATATTTGTGGTATTCTGGTGATAATCTCATATTAGTTTGTCTATAATGTTAAAAAAGAAGTAAAGCCAAACAAAATAATGCTGCCTAAAGAAAGACCTCCACAAATGTAGGAGAATGCAATTTAAATTTTTTTTATATATCACTTTTCATACTCTAGATATTCGACTTTTCATCAGTTTTATGTAGTCCACCATCTTGATTCTCCAGCAAAGGATTGCAGGTAAAGTGTGACATAACATCCTTTGTTGTGAAAAATGGAGAAAATGTAATTATCTATAACGTGAGAAATACTGATGCAATTTTTTTTCAAATTTTCAGTGTGCATACTACACATGTATATAATTATAGTAATAGAAATTAGAATGTTACAAATACACATAAAGTGAAAATATTGCTAAAAATCATTATTTTAATCGTTAAAAGTAGAATGACACTTTTTTGTCCCCTTTTTGTGGTCAATATGTGATATATCACTAATATAACCTACTCACATTGGTAAATTGTATACAATATAAGAAAATTTGAGCATTTGGTAGAAAAACTTTCAGCCAATTTGAAGTTCAACTTTTAAAGTTATAGATGAAATCATTTTCTCAATTTCTCAACAGAGGTTATGATGTCATACTTTACCCATAATCCCTTGCTGAAGAATCAAGATGGTGGACTACATAAATTAATGAAAAGTTAAATATCTAGAGAATGAAAAGTGATATGAAAAAGCTGTAAATTTCATGCTCTTACATTTGCCGAGCTCTTTCATCTGGGAGTGTTATGTTGTTAAACTTGACTTTTCCTTTAATGATAATCTTACCCTATCTAATGAAACATCACTTTTTCTTACATTCAACACTAATGCTAGATATTTCACCAAAGTAGTGTTAGCTTCCCCATCCAAAGGAGGAGCTGCAATCTGTACACCAACACTTTCACTTGAAATATCTGAATATTTAGAAAAATTACAAAAATATAAATATAAAATGAGCTTCAGTCACATCATACTCAAAAGTTGTGGTTTCCATATACATTTTTGTATTAGTATACCATATTTGCTCTATTAGAAGCACATCTCCAAGAGAAGAACACCTAACCAATTTATTGTAGTTATTGTATGCTGGATCATTAGAATACAAGATACCCATAATTTGACAACCAACAGCTAGCAGGATGCTAGGATGAAGTTGTTTACGCTTGTATGTGCACACAAGAACAGTAATTAGTTGGTATAACCAGTCACTCATCTCCCAAAGGTATGAAAATAGCATGGTTTGCCACTAGTTATTAAATTTGCACATATTTAACAGAAAACAATTTTTGGATAACTTTGTCACAGTTGCTGCTCCATGCATGCCATATTGTGTCAGACATTGAATAACTCTATTGGTTTCAATTGGAATTTTTCAAAATTTTTACAAAATAAACTAAAATGTTTTGTGAAGAGGACATTAAGACGTGTTATTTATATTTTGTTTTTGTTTTTGTTTATAGCACACTATATCTGTCTCAATTTCTATCGCTTGAGTAAACTTTTAAAGGGCTGTGGTGGTCGTGCTGCACTTGTTTGAATTTCATGTAACAAATAATTATTTTACATGTGCTGTATCGAACAGGATGCGATGCAATGACCACCATCCTTTAACAATGGCAATAGCATAACTACCGTATGTGGACATGTCTGAGAGGAAGAAAAATGATTTTATACCTGTTATTGAATTGTGTTTAGCACCTGGTTTAGCTTGTATGATAATGCTATGAGAGCCGTCTTTATTGAGAACTACTGGACCAGTTGTAGTTGTTGCTTTGCTTTCACAGCTAGCTTCCCCCTGCAGAAGAAACTATAGTGTTAATGATGCAATACTTGATTGAGTGTTCTTTGCTAAATTCATGGTATTGACTACGTTGTCTGTGGAAACCAAAATATATCAGTGTCCATAAACCGCAGTGGTTTTTGGTAGTGTTGATTATGGCCAAATTATATCTTTAAGTGAGATGCTTTCAACATCATGTATGAGCAAAGTTCACAAGAAATTAAATAAATTATTAGAAAAACAGTGGGAAAATGATATCCATAATGACAATAGAAAGCAAATTGGTGTCTCTAAGTTTTAAGATGAAAGTTACCTTGCCGATAACACTAATGTTGAGCTACATGTGACCAAAACTAGATTCAGAGTTAGTGATCATTGTTTTAAAATTGAAACTGACAGACATAAACAGATTGCAGTTAATTCTACAACATGTGATCAATGTATACAGACGAAGTTGAAGATGAAAACCATTTTGTTATCAATACTGCATCCATTTAACAAAACAGAAATGCATATAATTTTAGAACCAGTATTGAGAGTGACAAATTTATTTCCATTATGAGCAACAAACATGTCACTTCTCATAGCTCAGTTCATTAATAATAATAACTTCATTGCCTCCATGTAAAAAGATTTACATAGGATAAGTACAGCAAACAAGATATATGTAAAAATATTGTACAAAAAAAAGAAAAACAAGAACATAACTAGTATTTAAATGTTAAATAAATCTTTTTGCTGTGTAAATATAATTGGCAAGTTCTATAATTATGCCAGGATCTTTGCTTGAGAGTATAAATGTGAACTGTATATTTCATTGTTGGATGAAAGTAGTGTCATAATTTTGTGGATGAAGTTTTCCCTGTGTGTGTTATAATTTGGGCAATTCAATAGAAAAATGTTTTGCATCTTCAATTGAATTTGTGTCACAGTTATTGCATATTCTTTTGATTATAGGTTTCTTAGGAAATGAATATCTGCCTTCATTAATACCAGACAGTGACTGTGTCTTGAATGAGCTGGGAGCATTAATAGTGTTTTGTTGTTGATTTTTTATCTTCTTTATTTGTTTTGTGATATATGATCATTTTTATCTTCTCCGGGAGATATTATAAGTTAATAAATACTATTATTATGTGCGCTCTGGGTGTGCGCTTCTAGAATAATAATTCCTGGCTGTGCATTTAATTTTTTTTAATTATAATTAATTTATGTTCAGAAAATTTACACTGGTTTTCACACAATAATATAGTTTTCTTGTCTCGCTGGATATACAATGGTACATCTCTTTAACGACTGGGTGGCAAATTAGTGACCGATTTCTGATGGACTTCCAACCTGACCTTGGCTGACCCATGGAGCTAGCTCCATGGCTGACCTATAATGTTTGTATTTTACCTTATTCGCCTTTACCTGTCCTTTCTTTTTTGGCATTCTATCAGATGTATGAATACATTTTGATGTCTGTAGAAATATTAGTGGTCTAGTGAACTTTATCATTCAACCACACTTAAAGTATCGGCGGAATACCGAACCACAATAACACAAACTACGAGGAAACCCGGAAGTAAACAAATGCGCATGCGTGGGGTAGATTTTTTGCAATAATGGCAGCCTCCATTGGAAAACATGCGTCCAAAATAAAGTGAGTATTTTTCAGTAAACTAAAGTCGTAACGGTAACAGGAGACTGTCGGTACCTAAAATACCAGTGCCTACCCAACAATTAGACTGCTGTCAGTTCATCTACCAGTATCATGAATGTAGAATTTTAAAAAGCGACCTCAAATAACAGAAGTTTTTTTTTTCTACCTTTATTAAATAGTAACATGTATGAATGTGATACAAATGATAAAGAATATGTATGTATACGTCACTGAATGACTGATGAATAGTATGAAACAACGCTGGTTTAGATTGTGATAAAAGAAAAATTTCTTACTATGCATGATAATCTCTAAAACATGGAATTGAATTTGTACCTGTAATTATTTTGTAATCAAATGCGCCAGTCAATATAAACTATGAGCTTTCACCCCCCCTACAACAACAACAACCAACCACCCTAATTTGGTATGCGGGGACAAGAACAATATTTCGAGGTGCTAAATATATTATGCCCCACCCTCTAGGGTAAATAAAAATCTTATCCCAATCCAGCATATTCCTGCACTATTATTCCCTAGTTTTTTTTCCCATGTGAAATATTTCATGAGAAAATAGCAAACTCCTGAGTGCCATAATTGCCCCCACGTAACCCGAGAGGGGGGGTCAGGGTTTCCATGTCCACGACATTCAATTTCAGTGTTTAATAAAATTTGGCCTGGCCTGAAAAGAGACTTGCTTATAAATATTTTCTGTTACTAAAAACATGTTTTTTTTTTCATAGAGTGAGCTCTACTTTGAATCGTGATGTAAAACAATTTGGTAAAAAGTATATGTTTGATGATGATGAGGAAACGTGTTGGAATTCAGACCAGGTAAAAAAATGACAGTTGAATTAGAGAATAACAGCTAAAAATGAGCAAATATTTGAATTCAGTGATTGTATTTCTGTCACATGTTTTAGTACTTTTGTTTCCAATGTGAACAAAAAAAAATTGTTCAATGTTGGTGATGGTGATGGTGATGTACCGGTAGTTTACCATATAAAATAATATTTCAAACTTTGGAACAAGTGCAGATAAAATTTGGAATGGATACAGAATAATAAATTCCAATGTTTTCTGTTCTAGATATATAATAATGATGAATATAAAAGGTGTAAGGAAAGTTTCAAAATTGGGGGCACTGTTTGATCCGATTGGAACATATAATTTTTTCTTTTTACAGTATAATGAATGAAAAAACCTATGAACATAAAGTATTTACATCTCCAGTGCCGTGCCTTGAGTACATTATATTTTAAAATTTGTATGCATACCAGAATGATTTTGTGAAATGAAAACTTAATTTTGTATGTTTTCAGTACTAAAACTATTGAGCAATATGAAATATGTGAGTCTACGGTCTCCATGAATTTTGTGATTGATTGTTGTATGATTTGATTAAAAAGAAAATCTTAGGTTACCTCTAACAGTTTATTTGATACTGATCAAAAACGTATTAAATAAACTTTAGTACAGTTGTTTTTTGATGAATTTTTCTAAAAATTTATGATTAACATATGTTTTTTTATGCAATATCATAAACGTATGAGCTTTCAATAATGGAAATGCGGTACCAGTTTACTTGTAACAAAGATTGAAGCTGAACTTGAAATAAAAACAACAAATTATCTTTTCTTTCATAATAGGGCTCACCGCAGTGGGTAGTCATGGAATTTCCCCATCAAATCAGACTCCAAGAGCTGATGATACAATTTCAAGGAGGATTTGTGGGAAAAGAATGTTGGATAGAAGGTTGCCATGATGATGAAACAATGACAAAAATTCTAGATTTTTATCCAGAAGATGTGAATTCATTGCAAATATCCTTTCTTTTGTAGATGGTTAGTTAGTCAGACATTTTATTGTTGTTTGCAGCTTTCATTGATGTTCATACTATAGACAAATTTTTGTTGCATAAACTTTTATTTTCTTCGCTATATATAAAATATGACCTTCACTGTGTCCTTCATTGTTGTAAATGACCTTTGATTGTTAGCTTTTCATTGACACAAATGACCTTTCATTAAGGTAGGCAACTGCTCAAATAGATGAACATTTATCGTTATAGAAAAAAACCAATGGTTACATACATTATAATATTATGACAACATTGACACAGTTAACCTTTCATTGACATGGACGACCTTTCATTGATATGGACAGCATTCATTGACATAGATGACAGATGACCTTCATTGATATGGGTGACCATCCATTGAACAGGTAACCTTCAATGATAAAGATGTTTCATTAACAATTCATTTAAAATGTTATAAATATAAATGACCACCAAATCATTCATGCAAAAAATGGCATTTGGAAGTTATAACAAACTGATTCATACACACTACTATTCTCCTTAACTCACAGTTTTCCACTCTTTTCATTTACCCACAGATCAGCTGTTTACAAAAGTCAAAATTATATTTAACAGCAGTACAGATTTTTATGGAAGAATCACTATTTATAAATTGGACTTAATTGGAACTCAAATTACTTGAGTTTTTTAAAACTGAATAAAACACATAGAATTTTGTAAACAGTCTGTATGACTAGTCTCTTCTGCAATTTCCAAAATGAATAATTTAACTATCCTGTGCACATTGCCATGATGTGAATTTAATCATGTGCCAACATAATATGGTTGCTTCTCAGACAAATCTGATTAAAATTTGATGTTATTAATTTATTAAATGTTATTTATTTTATTGTATTAACAGTATTTTATTGTTTTCTATCATTTTTACGTTGTTTTAACATTTGATGCCCTACCTAGTGTTAATTCAAAACAAAATAAATAGGAATTGACCATGGGTTGAATTACAATTCATTAGATGATGGCACTAGAGCTCTAAATACACCAAAATCTTTGTTGATCAGAGTGGATTTGTTTTGCAAATGATGAAGGTTTAAACATAGTACATCTTAGAACATATGTGCATACATTTCTATCACTGTTCAAAAACCTTGAAAACTCTGAAAGTTGGCACTTAACCAAGAATGGATCTTTTTATAGACATGAATGAAACTCACTCAAATTTTGTATATACTGTACAATGTTTTAATTTTCGTTGCTAGAAATTTCTGTGATTTCAGCATTTCCATGTAAGTAATTCATGGGAACAAAATTTCGCAAAAGTCACTGACACTCAGAACCCAGAAAACTTATCACTGCTAAAGAAATTCATGATATTCCCTGATGCACAAACTTAAAGCAGTTTACAGCATATACATGTAGATCACAGGTTGATAAGAACTAAGGCTATGTAATAAACACAACTAATTTTAATTAGTCAAAAAGAACTCTGGTACAATTGCATTCACAACATACTATGTGCATCTCGCATATAAAAGAACTAGCTTCGTCATAGAATAAATTTAATTCTACCAGCTTTAGAAAACGAATGCACACATTTACAGTAACCTAGCATTTGAATTTTGTTTCTTAAAATGAGTTCCCTATTTGTTTGGTCTGCATAAATCATTTTTCAAGCAAATTGCATGTGCTATTGTTGTTGTTATTATTGTGTTCTTATATATTGAATGCAGTTTTAAGATTTGAACAAATTGTTAGTGATGGAGGTTATCAGAGACATTGACTAAAATTAAAATATTCCTCCCATTTCATGAAAAATAAAGTCAGGTCAGGCTTTAAAAAATGTTGTATGTTCTATTTCAAATGCAGTCAATGAATATTTGTAAACAAACCAAATTATTAGGGCCTAATTTATTTAGAGGGAAGAAATAACTGTTCAATTCTGTGCTCCGCTAGAGGGAAGAAATAACTGTTCAATTCTGTGCTCCGCTAAAAATACAGTCTCTCTCCTCCTTCACCCCTCCCCCAATGTTTTACCTATCAGGCCGTCCTCTCCCCGCTGCCCAAACAATATTAATTGAAGACCGTCCTCTCCCCACATGATTTGTAAAGATTCACTGCTACCTTTTGACTTGCCACAAGCACATTTTCTCTATCAATGGAGGAACTTGGGCTTTTGATTGTTGACAGTATTTGGTAGTTACAAATTTGTAGTTGTTGGAGACTGTGAGTAAAACTTAAAGATTCCTTCACTTTTCACGAAAATAACGTCACTGAGTCTTAAAAATTGGTGTACGTTTTGTTTGACAGTTTGGAATTCGTGGTTGTCAGAGACTTTGACTACAAATGAAAGATTCCTTCAATTTTGTAATGTTCAGTTGACCACCTGTTGACGCTGTGCTCGTGTTAGCAGTAAGCGTGGAGAGTACTATGTCGTTGGGGCGCACTATATAGAATAGCCATGGCAATAATGTAACATTTCAATTCTGGGTGTAAACTCAATTAATATCAAAACTAACAGAGAACAAAATATGAACGCTAAATAGTGAATAAAATGTTAAAGCATTGCACTTCATAAAAAAGTTTATAGAGTCTGGTTACAATAAAAAAATGTTGTTGCACTGGGCAGTTGATTAAAAACTTGTTCAACTCTACGAGAAATATTATGTTTGATACCATAATTAACTTAAATGATCATTTTCGCCAAATTCCTGATAGTTAGTGTATATTTCTTATATAATTGTGATCATTTCGTTTCTTTGGTGTGTGTAAAGTTGCATTCCATTAGGTGGTGTATTGTATGTTTCACAATAAGCTTGTGGGAGATGTAACCTCGGGGTTAAAACCTTCTGAATACACCTGAATTTAGCAGCAGATTTATAAAGCACGACAACAAACTTTGTTGACTTGAAATTGGCAAGGTTAAATGTTGTCATTGTCATTAACAAATGACCTCGAGAAGCGTATTTGTATCACTATCACAGTTACCGCTAAGTTGCCTTATTGCAATTCTCCCTTGGTCATATCTGACTACCCCGCGGGCAATCACCGCAATTGTGATGCCTGTTATGACATTATTTTTGTGTGGTCGTTATGAATTACCACTAACTGCGTACAACCATAACACCAATTCGGTACTATTAAATAAATCAGATAATAAATAAATGTTTCAATTTATATTTGCCTAAAGTTATATTCTCTTGTAAAATATAACGAACGGCTACTGCATCCTATATTATATATATATATTAGTATACTGTGTTTCTCGCTCAATATGTACCGAATGCCCGATCATAATAAAACCATATATTACCAGTACATGTAGCAATATGCAAAACACAGTAGGAGTATATAAATAGATATTGTTGATATAGTCTTGTTGGTGACAGATGTAACCTGCACTGAGCGCCGGACGCCATGATGTCCAGTACGACAGCGTATGAGCGATGTAACTGGTAAGTAAAATTTGTGTAAAAACTGGTATCAGCCGCATGACGGCCGTCTTGCTGTAATTGCTTTAACGGTCCGTGCGATTCGTCGTGTGTTGTCGGTTCGTGACGTCGTGCTCGTAACCATTTCGGAGCATTGTGTCATGGGTTACGCATCAGAACAAAATTCCACTGATGTATCTAGCCATAAAATCGAATAGAGTACATGTCCTCAGACCCGTAAATTGAGCCCTAGGGGCACGTATCAACAGTTAAACCACGTTGAATGCATTAATTCCACGTGGAATAGGTGGACATGACGTGCGTATTCAGTAAGTCTGACTTCTACGTTTCGTACAATATGGCTTGCAATGGGATAACATCAAAATGTCGAATCTCAGGAAACAATTAGAATAAAATGAGATACAATGTTTAGTCTAAATAACGGCGTAACCTAATGTAAATATTTGTGTTGTTTTAGAAACGTCACGCCCTTCGGTTCACTAATGTTTTGTTTTCCCCTATGCCCGCGACGGTGACAGTGGACACCGTCCCTGTTGAGAGATGGTGACAGTGGACACCGGACACCGTCCCTGTTGAGGGATGGTGACTGGAGAACTACATGTTGGTAAAATTCGACTCCTCGATTCTAAACTTATTTCAGTTTTGGTTATTTCACTAATTGGCTGTGATCACGTGGAGTTTGAATAACTATAGTGTTGACTTTTAATAACAAAAATATATTTATAAATTGTTTGATTCTTTGTGGTGTTTATCGTATCTGACTACAACTCTCGACTTTATGCGAATGTTGATCCTTGATTGCACATTGTAAATGACCTCTATAACTGACCAAATAATTTTAATACGAACAAAATAACATGTTATTTTTATAG